ATGCGGCTGGGGCAGCTCACAGGGGCTGTGAGCCCTTGAACTTGCTATTTCAGGCTGAGGTCCAGGCGACCCTCCTCCCCCAATCCCATCCCCACTCCACTCCTCTGCAACATCACTGTTGGGGAGATTGCTGGTGGAAACAAGGGAGGTACATTACTAAGCTTGGTGTTCCAGGAAGGAGCTGAGAAGGGAAGGTCAGGGAGAGCAGGCTCCTGCACCATCCAGATGGCAAGGCCAGTGCCACAGAAGAAGGGGAGAGGCAGGAGTGAATGCTACTAGGGTCAGGCAAAGAAGGTCACTCACAGCTTTTGGGCAGAAGAGAAAGCTTAAGGTAAAGTACAGGGTACATGAAGGTAAAGAAAGGAGCTTGTTTTTCCAGCTCATTCTCCACTCTCTGTTCCCCACTTTCTACTTCTCTGCAGAGAGCAGAGAGTTCTTGGCAAGTTAGGTGGGCCATGCACACCCCCTCTCCACCATTCCCCAACCCCATTGCCCTCTGGCCTCTACCTTGAGTCCACAGAGGACAGCAGGCAAAGCTGGTCTACTCCACTCATTCCACCATCCTCCTCATCTTCCTTGGTCCCTTTAGTGAGAGCAGTCCCTAGAACCCAAACCATAAGAGCAATTCCATCATGGCCTCAACATTTTAGAAGAAAGAAGTTCTGTCCAGGGGTCTAGCATCATTCACCTCTTCATCTACTCAAACAGTATTTAGGTGGCTACTGTGCCAGGCACCATGTTAGAAATAAACAACATGCAACTCCTTTGAGTAGGATAAATAAAGCTGCAAGCCAGTATCTATACTGTAAGTGAAAACATGCTATGTGAATGCAGAAATTAGTCCTGCTTGGGGTTGGGGACAGGGGAGGGTTTAATAGGAGTTGTGGGCTTTTAAGGGTTAAGTAGATAGCTATTAATCAGGCAGAAAGAGAGGTAAGAGAAGAGACTACAGCAGGAATAGTACACTGGAATAGAGGCTTGAAAATTGTTTCATGTATGCATTCAAAAAATGGGGAATAATCTGGGAAAGTCAGAATATGGTCTGTGTGGGGAAATAATGGAAGGTGATCCTGGAAGGCTGGAAGTGTGAGCCTAATGGTTTTAGATGTGAAAAATCAAAGACAATTTTTAGGAATCGGTACAGTTAGATTAAGAATTTTGGAAATACCATAATGAAATGGAGAAAACAAAATAGGAGGCAGTTAGGAGCGAGGAGGCTGTTGAACTAGTCAGAGCAAGAATCGATGTGGGTCTGGCAGTGAATTCCACCAGTGAACAAACGGTTGTCAAATAAGCACAAGAGGGGGTTTTGAGAGATTTTGAGCCATCTTCAAGCTGGTGGGGAGGGAGTGGTTAAAGATGGTGGTAGCACTGCTGATGAAATGAGCTATTCACCTTATGCACACAGGAGATGAGGGGAGTGGGGATTTGAGAGCACAAGTGGGAAGGACATATTATGGTCTAGATTGTGGTCATATCAAATGATCTCTGCTCTGTGACCTCTCCCCTCCACTTTTTCAGGAAATAAAAGGCTGGAACCAGTCCCCTTGAGAAAGGGATGAGAAGAGAAGTCCTCATAGAAGTCATAGAAATAAGACAGAGCTGACACGTTCACTGTGGTCCCTGTGACCACCCCAGCCCAATACCCTGACCACACATGATTACTTAATGAGGTGTCAAACATCCTAGTTTGTCCAGGACAGTTCAAGTTTATACTAGATATTCAGGCATCATGATTAATCCAGTTCCTCTCACTCTCAAAACTGGCCCAGTTGAATGATAAAATGGAAGTTGACCTTATCAATCAACTGCATCCTTCTTTCCCACCGAGCCCAGGTGCAACCTGAAAATCCTTTTCTACACAGCCTTCCTTCTAGGCAACAGCTATCAATCAATCAGGTTTTGAAATCTACTTGCCACCTTTTTGAGGGAAGAAAGAACATAGGTCTAATATTAGCTGGGCAAACACTGGCATGCAATTTGACCTCTCGAGCCTCCATTTCTTCATTTGACACCTGAAATAACAGCATTGCCTACTCACAGAGCTAGTGTGAGCATCAAGTGAGGTAGCACATGGAAAAATGCTATACAAATGGTAGTGCTTTTAGGTTTATTCAAAGGACAGAAACAGCTGGCACGGTAGCGCCTCAGGGCTCTTGGCATCATCCTCACTGCCACCCCAGTAGGAGACCATGAGCCTCCTTGGGAAGGAGGCTGTGGTAGCCAGCAGCTCCTCCTGGAGTTTAGGCCTCTCCTCCCTTAATCCTCTCTTCCTTTGGAGACAAACAACAAACCCCTCTGGCACCCCCACCCCTCAGATCAACTCCATCAAGAAGCAAGGCTTCTCTTTGTACTACAGCAAACACACGTCTCTTATTGATGCTCCCCTGGGACCCTCTGTGGCAACACATGCATAGCTTTGAAGTTGCGAGTGTATTTAATGCGCAAGGGCCCCGTCTCGGTTCAAGGACAGTATTTTAAGTCCCCGAGAAGACGGGAACAAAGTTTTGATTGCAGAAAGAAACAGATCCTTAACAGACTTGAATGATAAAACATCATAACCTCATCCGATTGTAGCAGCCAGCTCTGAAGAGGGAGTCACAGAAGAAACAATTGATTGGGAAGCCTGACTTTCATCTCAGCTATAAGCCTGTTCCTTGACCTAAGCTACTACCACTTCACTGACTTGTGACAGGCACAGAACTAAAAATGCAGGGTGCAAGCTGCTCAGGGCAGGACTACTGAGGAAGCAAACATAACCAAGGCTTGGAAGAATTCAGGACAAAGGCATCTTGTGGGAAAATGGCCTCCTTTGAAAGATTACCGCCTGAAGGAGGTGTCACCTGACCAAATAATAAAATCCTGAAGAGGACGCGGCTCATCACTTGATCTGGATCCATCTACAGAAGAATAACCAGCTTTTCACCTTTTCAAATGAGCTTAGTTGTTTCAGAAACAAACCATAAACTTCACTGCAGGTCCAACGAGAGTCCAGGCTTCAAGAGGGAAGAAAAGAGCCAGTCTTTTGGGAGCAACTGGAGGAAAGAAAAATGAGGCAGATGACTGTTGAGACTATTGTCTCCTCACGGATTTCAGGAAGACCTGGCCCAGAACCTGGGTGGAAAACAGACCAACCATCACCAAACCAACTTCACCAACTGTCCTGCAGGCAGTGACCTGGGAGATGCCTGGACCAGGAGAGAGGCCACACTGGGATGCCACGGTGATCTTAGTGATACCTGGGATTTAGGCAGTGCCTCTCATTCTGAAGAGCAGGGGTCAGGCCAGCAAGCTGGGCTCATGAGTAAAGGCAGATGGAGAAGATCATCTAGAGGGGTCATCAGAAAGTTTAGGTCTCATCCTGATCCTCAGCTTTTCAAAATCAGAGATATTAACATAATCACCCCATGTTCCCAGGGGTGATCAGTACTAGGGGGATGGTTTGCATTGAGCTAAGAGCATCTTATTCATCTATGTATCTTCTGGGACAAGCACAATGTATGGCATATACCAGGTCAATGATTTTAGCCCTGTCTGCTCATTAGAACAGCCTAGGATGCTTTACTAAAATACCAGTGGCTAGGAGCCACTCTCAGAGCCTCTGAATTAATTGGTCTGGGAATAGGCCCAGGCATGAGTGTTATAACTTCACAGGTGATCTAAAGTAAAGTCAAGGCTATGAACAATTGTATCGGATCATCAATGAATGGCAGTTGAACAATGGAAGAACTAATGTGGTATGGTTTGGCTGAGTCCTCACCCAAATTTCACCTTGAATTGTAACAATCCCCACATGTCAAGGGCAGGGCCAGGTGGAGATAATTGAATGATGGGGCCGTTTCCCCCTTACTGTTCTCATGGTAGTGAGTAAGTCTCATGAGATCTGATGGTTTTATAAATGGGAGTTCCCCTACACAAGCTCTCTTGCCTTCTGCCACGTAAGACATGATTTTTCTCCTCATCCGTCTTCCACCATGATTGTGAAGCCTCCTCAGCCATGTGCAACTGTGAGTCAATTAAATCTCTTTTCTTTATAAATGACCCAGACTCAGGTAGGTCTTTATTAGCAGCGTGAAAACAGACTAATACACAATAAATGAATGGAAGCATTGGAGGTGAATGACAGCACACTCATTCACAATGGCAGCATCCCTTACAGGACCGCTGGCACTAGCCATTGGCATGGGCTGGTGAGAAAGTCTGCTTAGGAGGCCAGATTATCCATCACAAGGCTCCTTGGTTAGCCCAACATCAGCAAAGGGACATTGGCTATTGCTGAAAGAATCTTCACAACAAACCACTATACCTGCTTCATATCCCCTCATTCTTGCTAAATTCTCTGTAGTGTGCTATTATGCATATCTCTTCATTCCGTGCTTTTAACAAAGAAGAATCATAGGAAGAATAGGTGTTTTTTATCTATGTTTCATGAGGGATTAAAATGACAGCCCCAGCTGTCAGATTACATAGAATGTCCCAGGTCACCCAGTTTTCTTGTGGGGAATCGAGGGCTCTCTGTTTACTGGATTGGGTTAACCTGGGAGCTGAAGGTTAACTTGGGAAACTGACCTCTTTTCTGCATCTATCCTACCCCGTGCCTCATTACACAGGCACATGCATGGGCTGGGTCAATACGATCAGGCATTTAATTAAGCAGATATTAAGCTCAAGAGGGCCCTATTTCCTCTACTATGAACCTAGGAGCAACGATAAGGAAATGCAGGAGCCTGAGGGTTGAAGCACAAATTTAATAAACATTTCCGCCGTTGCCTGGAGCCTGATTTCTGTCAAGGCCCAATGACTTCTTGAACTAACTTGCTGAGTGATTGCAAACTTCTCTGAGAGCCTCATGAGAGATGGCACTCATTGGAGGTTGAGTATGTACACAAACACAGGCCCACTTGGATGGATACCTTAGCGCGCGATCTCTCTCTCTCTCACTCGCTCGCTCGCTTTCATTTGCGCACATGCACACACCCTCCTCACAATGCCATAATGTCTATGTAAATTGGATCTTTAATATCCTTCAGATAAATGACTTCAGAAAGAACATGGATACAATACTCTGTCTCTGAGTTAACATGATAGGCTCTGCCTCCCAAATTGGCTCAGAGAAATTAGCAGGAAGGAAGGAAGGATCAGACGAAATAATAAACCTGCTTACCTGCTCATTAATTTAATCTCCCCCCCACCACCCTCTCTTCGCCTTGTGGTTTCACTACCCATAAAATAACTAGATAACTTCGAAGTCCTAGATGAAAGAGAAACTAGGTCTGGAAGCTCTAAGATTAAAGGAGAATTTTTAGGATTAGTCTTTGATTTTTTTCCTTTTCTCTCTCCTTCTCCCCCTCTCTTTTATTTTTTTCTTTCTTCTTTTTATCTCAGAGGTGACTGAGGAGGCTTCCCTCTTCTTTTCACCTCTCTGCTGAGTTGGTCAGCCTGAAGCCTCCCCTGGGGCACAGAGGCAGAGCTCACAAGGAACTTGGGACCTGGGACAGAAGGCACAGAGTAGGGCTCCTCTTAGTGACATTTCCCACCAGACATTGAAGGGCATCTGTTGTTTGAGTAATGTATGGGTGCACGAAACTGCTTCCTCCTTATCGTTTGAGTAGGACACCCTCTTGCAGATGCTTGGATGCACTTCCCTATACCTCTTTTTCCAGGTGGCTCTTGCCCTTAAAGAGCCTCAGATGAGTAGAAAAGACCCTGACCTACCTGGTCTGCACAATCTTGGGAGATTTCAGTGATTCTATTATGTCTTCCCAGTCCTGAGAGCCAGACTGTGAGCATCTCCAACATTGCTCAACAAGGCATGTTTCAAACAGTTACACCAAAGTCAGGAAGCACCCTCCCTAGGGCCACTCCTGCCCCTGGATATAACAAGTCAGCCTGCTGCTGTACTTTATTTCCAATTCAGAGAGTTCATTCTCAGACCTATCCACTCTTCTCGGGAGCTCCTGGCATCTCAGGGTAGTGAGCACCTCCCTGAAAGCTCTGGGTGACCAGTCTTTATTCATTTCACGTGTGCCTCCTGCCCAACGTCTAGCATGAAGAAATCAGACAAGATACAGAGATACTTACTCCACTCCACCAGAGGAAGTGAAAACCGTACAATTTAAGAGAGACAGGAGAACAGAGAAGCAGCAGCAGGCTCTGTTCGATAGATGGGCAGCCCAGAGTGGCAAGGGGGAGAAATGTTGCCCAGAGCAGCAGCTTGTCCCAGTGCTCATGCAGGGTGTCCTTCGAATGGCTCCCCAAATCCAACCCAAGCCCCTTCTTACAAAGTCAATGATATCTCTCTCTCAGGGCAGGCTTCTTCAAAACGAAAGGCACTTCTCCATCACCGGCACTCAGGTTCAGCAAAGGCTCAGGCAGGTAATGACATCAAAGAAGGCAAAAGGCCAGGGAGCACGTGCAGTGCTGTAAAAATGAGATGGGAGTTGAAGCTTCTCTAGGCATCTGGATGCAAATATTTTTGAGTTTTCAAGCCCCAAATGCAGAGGCACCCCTGTGGCTGATGTGCCACAGCCCTTAGCTGCTGTCCACACTCAATCAAGCTCACGGGCCTCACTTTTGGAAGGAAAGTTACTCTAGTCCAGAACAGCAGCTCCCGGGAATCTTAAGTCTCAGAACTTCTTCACATTGAGGCCCCAAGACCTCATGTTTGTGTAGGTTTTGTCTATTGATATTTAACGTACTGGATATTGAAACTGAGAAAAGTGGCTGGGTGTGGTGCTTACCCCTGTAATCCTGGCACTTTAGGAGGCCAAGGTGGGCAGATCACTTGAGGCCAGGAGTTTGAGACCAGCCTGGGCAACATGATGAAACCCTGCCTCTTCTAAAAACACAAAAATTAGCCGGGTGTGGTGGCAGACACCTGTAATCCCCGCTACTCAGGAGGTTGAGGCAGGAGAATCACTTGAACCCTGGAGATGGAGGTTGCAGTAAGCCCAGATCATACCACTGCACTCCAGCCTGAGAGACAGAGAAAATTATAAAATATTTATTAATCCATTTAAAAATAACATATCTATTATACGTGAATATATACAAGAGTTTTTAATTTTCCAAAACAAAATTGGTAAGAACAGTGGCCTTTTTTTATATTCACAAATCTCTTTATTGGCAGCCTTAATAGAAACCAGCTAGATTCACGTACCTGCTTCTGAACACACCCTGTTGTGATAGGCTGTTTTGTTGAAGCATATGAAAAAAATACAGCCTAACACAGATAAGTATTTGGAAAGGGGAGGAATAGCTTAATAATCTTTTCTGATAATTGTGGATATTTATGGAAATTACATCAAAACTCAAAAAATGGTGCTTTCTTAAAGGTTACAGCTTGGAATGAGAACCCTTGTCGTATAATGTTACATTAAAATCCATTGATCTATCTTACACGTGAAATGGAATTTTGCGGCATGGATTGATCATCTGGAAATATTGGTTCACTGAGTTATGCAGATCTTGCAAGTGTTGACACATTTCACAATGCAATATTGGAAATCCACATTTGTCCATATCACCTCAGATTGCGTCAGAAAAGTCTTTAACTATTTGGAAGTTACCAGTGCAAGGGCCACTGGGATTCAGACCTCGTTGGAGAAGGTGCGATTATAGCCTGCAGGAAGGCAGAGAAGTTCTCTGGGTTGCCTGGATCCAAGCTGGACCATAGTCAATGAGCTGAGGCTGGGAAACAGGAACTGGAAAACGGGAAATCCCTGCCGGGACACCTAATGAAACTTACAGGGAAGCCTTCTTCAGAAATGTCGTTGAGCTAACTGGTAAGCCAGCTAGGGAACCTGTGGAACTCCCCAGGAAGGTGCCTCCTGTAAGACTGCCCATAAAGAAATGCTACACCGTGTAGGAGAGCTCCCTGGGAAGCCTTCTTCTGGGAAACCAAGGGAAACCACCTTGGAAGAGGTGCCAGGCCCCTCATCATCATTTTACACACAAGTTGTTGAAGATTAACTTTACAATGTTCTGTTTAGGTGTTATTTAGTAGTACCATGGCTAAATTTAAGGAGATGTTAATATACCCAGCAATGGATACAGTAACTCTTGAGACTATACATCTGTTTAGGAAAAGGATGAGCATTTCACTAGTTCAAAGGATAGCTATAACTCATTAGGTAGAAAGACAGTTGTTTCAGTGTCAAACAGAAGTTCAAGTGTGTGCAGAAGTTGTGTAAACAAAAGGGTAGGCTATGCCAGCCATCAAATTATTGCTGCTTAGCTCCAAGGCTACCTTCATTCCTGCTTGTAATACTGGAATGTTTCTTACTGGCCAATTGGGACTTTTGTCAGTAGACAGCACTGGAAGAACACTGGAGGAGGAAAGGCTTTTCTTCCTGCTTCCAGTGATCTTCTCAGCTTGCTCCTTGGTGCATGGTACCCAGCAGTGCATGGGATACTAAGTAATGTCATGTTCATTGGAGTTGGCATCTCCCCATTACCAGCTTTCCTTGGCACCATGGAGAGTGGCTTTATGGAAAGTTCACCCACCATTGCAGCTCCTCCCTGGGGGCAGCCTCTTAGGACCACAGAAGGGCTTCTTGGTAAACGCTGTGTGTGCCACAGCTGGGCTTCCCAGCATGTTCACCAGCCTCCATGACAGCTTCCAGCAAATTCCATTGACCATCACAAGCAGTTTCCCGTCTGCCAGGCCTGGCCTACTGACTGTGGATGGGCTTTGGCCCAGAGTAGCTTCCCGTCATGCAGGGGGCTACCATGATACCAACTCCAATGAAGTCTAATTCCCAGCCCCTACCCAAATTTCTTCCTTTATTGGAACTCTCCCTTAGTCTTAGGGTACTCTTTAGAATTCTCTTTTGTTCTTACAAATAGTTCATTGTTTATGCTAAACTTTCCCTATTTAAATGCAAGGTGGTTTTTCTCTCCTGACTAGACCATGACTGATACAATATGAATACAAATTTTCACAAATTCTAATATGCTTAAAAACTTCAGTCTTATCTATGGCAACAAATACTGTCAGTCATTTTCCTTGAAATGACAGTCTCACTTTGTTCATCTGTAAGAAAATATTTTCCAAATACTGAAGTCTGGTTAGTCATAAATTGTCACTCATTCTTTCAAGTAAACGGGTATTTTATTAAGAAAGTGGCTAGTTCAGCTTGCAACTCAAATGCACGTGTACTTTTCCTCAAGGCGAACATATTGAGCACAAATTGTTTTTGCATACTTCCCATTTTATTACACAGAATATTAAATAGGCATGTACTCAAAGGTCAACATTTAAGAAAATTAATATTTTTACTGCCACATCAGGACACTCTTGAGTAAGAGTGATTTTTTTTTTTATTCTGCAAGTATGTTCTAGTAAAAAATATAATGTTCAGTATTACAGTTTGGTGCCACAGCCTTGATTTGGGCTAAGCAGCCTAAAGTTTTACCCATCGTTGACGGTGTGCCTTCAGTGTAAATGTCAACACAGTGAAAAAGGCAAATAGCATCATGAAAATGGTTTTGATCTCACAGAACCCTGTAAAGGACCTAGGAAACTCCAAGCATCCATGAGCCACACTTTTAAAGGTAAAGTATATATGTCTGGGCATCAAAAAGACCTGAGCCTAAATCTTGACTCTGCCAGTGTTTAACTAGAAGATCCCGGACAATTTGTTTAACTATTCTATGCCTTGGTTTTCTCACATATAAAATGGTATTCATATGACTACCTCTTTCACAGGGATATGTAAGAATTAAATGAGATGTAGTATGGGTATATAGCATAGTTCCTAGCATACAGTAAGTTCTCAATAAAGAGAGATTATACTGAAGAGAAAAAAGGAGAAATGAGAGGAGAAAAAAACATGAGAGTCCTGGTCATTTCATAGTGGAGGCATAAGAAGACCATTATGGCAAAAGCGAGGTTACAAAGTTGTGGTGGGTAAACCCGGAGCCTTGAGTTCTTTCATCCTGTCCCCAAAAATTCTTGAAGGAGCAGGAGCCAACTGAGTGAAGAAAGAAGTCCCAAGGATAGGCTCACCCACTTCTGGATGGTTTTTAGAAGGTGACCCCAGAAGGGCTTTATATTTCTTAGGAGAATTTCCCTAACCCCTCAATAAAGACAGCCACCATGTGAGAGAGAGAGGGGGGATGGCTGAGACATCTAACTAGAGTCTAACTTGGGACTCTAACTAAAGTGCTCATGCTGCCACCAAGGTGCAAAGCTGGTGTTAAGAGTACCAGCCTGATTACAGTACTGAAGTTCACTCCTCCTGTTCTGCTACATTCCCCCTGGTGTGCCAGGAGACACTGCAATCTTCTCTCAGAGAAGTCGAGACAGAAAAATCTGCAACACAAAACAAAGGCACCCAGGTCAGACTCCACAGTTGTGTCTTAATTCTTCAGGAGTTGCTTCCCTATTTAGCCGTGCTCAGCTCCAAAATATGAATACTATCTTATGACTGCCAAGCAGGCTAACCCACAATTAGCCAGGCTGTTTACAAGGCCCTCTACTCCCCTTTTCCTTCTCCAGCCTTCTGAGAAAAAGGACACTCCATGACAATAAATGTTGTTGTTGTCAACTAATTCCTAACAATAAATACAATTGACTTTTATTGAGAACTTACTTCACTCTAGGCATTATGCTAAGTGTTACACACACGACTTCATTTCATCCTCAAAACAGTTTGAACCCATTTTAAAGACAAAGAAACTGAGTCTTAGAGAGGTCAACTGGTGTGTCAAATCTGCATAACTAGTGTCAAGTTATTTTCTATCTGACCTCAAAGCTGGTGTTAGTATCACTTTTCTCTCCTGTGTCTCAATGTAAGTGAATTTTCACAGTAGGTGAGTGCATTTTCTCCTCCTTTCATCTGGCATTTGGGATCACAATTCTTCTTTGCTAGTTTGTCTTGCTTCCATACCATGCTGAAACCGAGTGGTTTCCTTCAGTGCTCACAGTTTCTTGCAGATAGCTTTGTATATATTCCTCAAATAAATTCTAACTTCAAATCTTTTAGACTCCTCCTCTCTTCTTGTTGACTTTCCTGACTTCAGCTTGCTCCCTTGCAAGCAATCCACCATGCTGTTGCCACTGCAGCCTTTCTAAACATACCCTTCCTTCCCTCACTTAAATGCCTCAGGGCCTCCCCAGCTGCAACTAAGACCACATTCTCCAGCTTACTATTCCAAGCACTTGGTTGCCTGCTTCCAGTTAATCTCTCCAAGTTCATTCCTTCCTTCCCTGCCTGTCTCCTGTGCTTCAGAATCCCTGATGGACCCTCAGCCTCCTCAACAAGGACTCTATGGTATTTCTCTTCGTGGTGCTGGTGCCTAACACCTTTCTTGGCTCATGGTAGCCGTTCAGAACGTGTTACTGAAGAAATGAATGATGGATGGGTGCATGGATGATTTTTAACAGCAGTTCTCTTATGCCTCCTTGAACCCTGCTTAGTAAACATTTGCTGAAGGATAGCTTCCAAAACTTTTGGATTCACTTTGTCACTGTTCTGAGCACCTTAGTTCCAGATTTTAATAGTTAGGCCCTCCCAGTCATCTTCATCCCTTCCTGCTTTCATAAGGAGTGGAGAGCCACAGCCCCTCTCACCAGGATCAGCTCCCCATGGGCTGCACTGTCCTGTCCCAGGAAACCTTCCCATCCTCCTATGTTTGCATTATGGAAGGTCACATATGTGGAATATTGGCTTCTCCATGGAGTTCCCATCTCCCTGCAGGAGCCCCCACACTTCCCTCCCCACTCTTTTCTGAGCTGTCATCTCTATGAAGGCAGCCTTGACAGAGTGAGCACCATGCAGGCTAGGAGTGCTCCCAGATCCACTTGGACATTTTTTCTCGGGTTATGTGGAGGGAAGTAGCAGAGAGACGTTGCAGCAACAAAGGACTGAGTGCAAGCAACGGAGAGATGGAGAATAGGCATTTTCTTCTTAACATCATATTGTCCCTTCAGAGATACTAAGGCAAGTGCCTTATCTGGAGGCAACGTAGCCAAGGCATTTCCAACATGGAAGGTGTGGTGGAGGCAGAGGCCTTCACAATCACCTGGAATGGCTATCTATCAATCAGTCAGCACCCATCAGGAGCCCAGACCTACACTAGGCTGGGGGTGGGAATGGGTGAAAGAGACACCAATGATATAAAATGGGTAAGTCCCACCCAGCGAAAATATTATCCAAAATGAAGACAACACAGCAGACGTGAGGCAGCGAGTCCTGCTGTGGGCATTATTCCAGGAAGGGAGAGACCACTGTGAGTCATGGGGTGTGCTTGAGATGAGGTGGTGAGTCATGAAGTAGGTGTGGTGCTTAACAGGGAGTGGGGGCATGCAAGTGGATAGCACTTTAGGGGGCTTGTATGTAGCCGGGGTGTCTGCCTAATCTGAGCCTTGGGTGTGCACAAATGGCAGAAGGCTGAATTGTATCATGATTACAGCTTTTTTTCTTTAATTTTATTTTTTAATGGACAAATAATAATTGTACATATTCATGGGGTACACAGCAATGTTTCAATACACATGATGTATAGTGATCAGATCAGGGTAATTAGCATATCATCATCTCAGACATTTAGCATTTATTTGTGTTGGGATCACTTAATATCCTCCATTTAGCTATCTGGAACTATGTATTATTGTTAACTCTAGTCATTCTACAATGCTATAGGACACCAGAATGTATTCTCCATGATCACAGCTTTCTAATTCTTTTCTGATAGACCATCTTATCTGGTCTCACTGGCCAAAACGCAGCGTTGGAATCCTCTAGGATATCACTAGCAGTTATTGTGAGTTCCAACCTGAGAATCAATTCATTTACAATTCTTGAACCCATAGCAACAAGAATAAAAAAGAAAGAGAAAATTTGGAAGTTATCTCATGGGGGGAATAAAGACAAGTGTGAAGGTGCCTTAGGGAGGGGAAGGAGCAGATAAAACAGATCACTGCCTCCTTTATGCCCCAAGTACTCAATGCACTTGCCAACCAAAACATTTTAACTGCTTATTTTATGCAGTTGTTTGCTATCTCACTTAACCATGAGTCCTTTGAGAGTTAGGAATATCTTATTTTCTCTTCTATACCCAGCGTTAAGCACGATATCAATATCAATAGACAAAAATATCAATAAACATGTATTGAATGAATGAGTGAAGGAATAAATGAAAGAATAAAGAACTGGTGGTCCCGGAGAACAAAAATGGTGATACCACTGACAGAAATGGAAGATCAGGAAGGAGGGCCAGAACAGTGTAACAGAAAGTTGTATAAAAGCAGTTTTCATCTCGATATGAGAAAGAACTCTACAGAGGCCAAGAATATCTCAAGAAGCACTTGGCCTCATGGAAAGGTATTAATGGTGAGGATAAAGACAGCTACCATTTATCTCATGTTCACCTTATGCAACCCTCACTGCAGCCTGGTTACACAGGAACTGTTACCATCCCCATTTTACAGGTGGAAAAAATGAGTCTCCAGGAGGCTGTGTAACATGCCCCAAGTGACAAAGCTGGTAAGTGCAAAACACAAGCTTTAAACCCCACCTCACCGTAATTGCTGCCCCTCACCATAATTGCTGCCCCTCAACAACAAAGTTCAGACCCTGGGAGTGCGTATCTGATGGCCTCATGCTCCTCATCCTCTCACTCCTCACCCTGGTGTTGTGTAAACAGCCTCCTCCCTCAGACTTCCTCTTCAGAGACCAGCCCATTCCCAGGTGGAGAAGCACTCCTCTGTACTTGATGCTGGTGTCTCTTTGACCCATCCCCAAGGCAATTGGGATGGAGAGGCAGGGGGTTGCTCCTAGGGCAGGCCTAGACCTCTGTGCCACTTGGAGCCCACTCTTCCAACGTGGCCTTGCCTCCTCCCTCTGATAGCTTCCCAGGGAGTGTAGGGATTCACCTTGCACAGAGAAGTTCGGCCCTTGCCAAGCTCCTGAGAATTAGCCTCTCAGCCCTTGGAATATCTGCCCAGTAAGAGCACCTTCGTTTTTACCTGAGGTCCTTGGTCTCAGTCTCAGATTGACTTCTGGAAGGGCAGGAGATTGAGGTAAGTCATGCAGGAGCTCCATGCCTACATGAGCAACCCCTGATAAAAACTGGACACCAAGGCTCAGTTGAGCTTCCCTGGTTGGCAACACTTTGTGTGTGTTGCCAACATCATTTCTGAGGGAATTAGGAGCTGTCTGCTGACTCCACTGGGAGAGGATAACGGAAGCCCACACCTGGAGTTCTACTGGACTATGCCTCTGCACCTTTTTCCATTGCTGATTTTCACCTGTAACCTTTTGCTAATAAACTGTAGCTGTGAGTCTAACAGTTTTGCTGAATTCCATGAGTACTTCTGGTGAATTATTAAAGCTAAGAGTGGTTTTGGGGACCCCTGAATGGCAGTCTTCTTGACCCCCATTGCTCTTGCCTGTTCCATCTTATCCCCTTCTGCTTCAGAGCTGAGCCTGGCTCTCTGCCTATTTCCTTGCACCTGCCTCTTGGACCTCTCTGCCTTTAAATTTGCATTGCATTGTGGGATGGCACACCCAGTATCCAGCAATCAGCCTAGCCAGGCCCATGTCCAGCCCTTGCTCCTAGAGAATCCCAGCCCAAACCAGAGCACTTATCTCTTTCCTCCCCAGGGAAAGGGGTCCAGAGAGTGACCCACCAAAGCTGAACAACTGCCTGACCTAGAGATATCCAGAAGAAGCGGTGAATGATGAACCCAATGATCTTTAAGCTTCTTCTCAAATCCTACGGTTCTGATTCCTGGATGTGTCCATCTAGTTTGGATATTCTGAGTTTGAGATAATGACAGGATTTTCAAGTGGAAGCGTCCTCTTGAATGCTCACAGAGATGGCTGGGGAGACAGAGGTCGGTGGGAGAATATTCCATGGTCGGGCCCTGCTTGGAAGGTGAAAAGTCTGCAGGGAGCTCAGATTGCATACAGAGACTTAGAAGTCCAGGAAACCAACTAGCTGAGCTGCCTTTCATAGCATAGCTGTGGCTTCCCAGAACTTGCCGGGGAAGGCTCCCCTTTCCTCCCTGCCAATTTCTCCACCCCACCTGGCACCAAAGGGCCTAGCCTCCAAGTCACAATTAAAGCTGTGCAACAATGCTAATTGCTGTATCTGACCTCCCTTCAGATAACAAGGGAATCCCTCTCCCTAATTAGCCCTGCCGCTGGTAGACCAGCAAAGCCAAATGTTTATTATGGGATGAATGCTCTTACCATAAATTTTGACATATGCTGTGGAAAGATGTTGGATAAATAAGACTTCAGAGGCATGGGTTGTTTAAATAATGAATACCCACTGCTGTGGGTGATGAGGGTGGAGGGGAGTGAG